GAGGACGCAGCCTGGTCTAAACCCCACAGCCGCTGCATGTGCAAATGCCGGCTTTTCTTCTTTCGCGGTGTTTTTTAACACAGGGAGGCCTTGGGCAGAGAGACAGCCCACTCACCGTGCGGCGAATAGACGCGGAGGTTGATGGGGACGGGAGAGATGCCTTTGTTGGTTCCCGTCACCCTGTCGGTTTCCGCTTCGATCTCCTGCCGCACCTCGTCAAAATCTGTGAACTTTTTGGATTTGCAGTGCAAAAACTCAGCATATTCTGGAAAAAGATAAAAAAATTAAAATAAAATAAAAAAAAAGACGATTCGGCCATCTGGAGCCCAGCACAGGACGCGCACCGAGATTCGAGCGCTTTAGAGACGTTTCTACGTCGCGACGCAGAACCGGCCATGCGCTTTGGGGCGACACCGAGCAGCCAGGCGGGATCGGTGCCCCGGAGAGGCACCGAGGACCTGCCCAGGGATTAACCTGGTCGTCTTCAGCCTCCTGACTGGCAGCAGCCCCAAAGAAACTTGGCCTAGCCCCTTCGTCTGGCTGCGGAGGAAAGACCGGGAGGACGGCAGCCAGCCGGCTCAGGCTGAGCGCGCTGACGCTCTGCCTGCTGCCTCTGCGCTGGCAGCAGCCGCTTTGATGTGGACTCCGGAGTTACGCTTCCCTTTGCCAAAAAAGAAACTGCCCTTGGGTGAGATGCTGGCAGGCAGCCGACGCTGGCTCCAGCTAGCGAACCTCAACATCAGAATGGCCGTGTTTGTTTTCACCCGGCCATGCTTGCCTTTCAGTCCCCGCTGATTGCTTTTAAATGTTTTATTGCCCGGATTCCTAAAGCCGAAGAAAGCTCCGAGTCTTCAGCTGCCAAGACGCTCCGGTGTGCCTGGGAGGCAGGGCAGCAAACCCCCCCGGCACTGGCAGCACCCCTCGTGCTGGCAAAAGGGCTGCAGCCGGCTGCGGGGACGCACGCCGGGGCCGGAGAGCCGGGATATCATCTTCGCACCATCCGGCAAGGGAGGAGCGGCGGTGTTTCCCGCCTCCGGCAGCCCCTTGCCAAAGAAGGAACCGCAGCTTCCCTCCACTTGCGCCGCGAGCTCTCTTTTATTCCCTCATTCGCTCTCCAGATTTATCGCTCCATTTTGCTCTGCTCCCGCAACCACCAACCCCGGCCGAGCTGCAGTCCGGCGAGGGGCCCGACTCCGACCCCGGCGACTGTCTCGCCCCGTGCCAGGAGACAAACATTAACCCAGCCCCGGCTCCTCTGCGGGGAAGACGCCTGGGAACGGAAAAGCAGCCGCTTTCAGGTACCTGAGGTTTTCTGAAAGGGTTTTGCAACCCGTTAGCGCGGGAGAAGCTTCGAGGGGAGCGGGGAAGCTGAGCAGAGAGGCGAGGGGGAAGAGAGACAGCGCTTCCCGACAGTCACCGGGATAAGGACTCCCCGGCTCCTCGCAACAGCTCCGCAAAAAAAAGGGATTTTAATGGATTTGGGGCCACGACTTGCCTCGGGGAGCGGGATGGTACAACTCCACTTCCTCCCTCCAACAACCCGCGGGTGAGGCGAGGGGAAATACCAGCCCTGCCCTCGTCCTTCCACTCCTACTGGTTCCAGCGCCTGATGACACCTTATCATCTGAAGGCCACGACTGACATTTTGTAATCCGCTTACATGTTCCGGGTACCAGAAACAATTAATTACTTGATAGACAGGTCACCTGGATAAAGGCGCAAGGAGCACGGCCCCACAGACCGCTCCAGCTCTGCCGGGATTGACCCAAACCCACGCTTTTTCGGAAGGGGACCACGCGTTTCGTTCAGGGGAAGGCAACAGGAGAAACGTCCCCGGAGACGGGGCCGGCTGGTGCTTTCCAAAGCGTGCCTGGTCGGGAAAGCGAGCCGTTGTCGTGGCCCGTGCCCAGCTCCTTGCCGCACGTGGAGGCAGGTGAAGTGGGGCAGAGGACGATTTCGCAACTCCTCCGTGCCAGGGTGCGAAGCGGAACTGAGTCACAGGGCAAGAGGGAAGAAGCCGGACGCGCTTTTGTTAGCCACCGCCAGCGTTTTAAACGCTCGTGCGCAAAGTCCCCCTTATCACCGGGATAACGACACCTTAAAGGAAACAGGAATTTTCTGCCGGAGGGGAGCAGAAGGACGGATCTAAACGTACCTAAGCAGATCGAAAGGCGTCACCGCTTCAACCCGTGCTCTGCTCCCCTTTCCCCCGCAGCCTCGCTGAACCCCTGCCCTCCCCTGCGCCAGCTCGATGCGTCTGAAGAGGGCAGACTCGCTATTTTATAAACTTCCTCGGGATTTAACGCATTCTGGGGAAGAAAGGCTCGCCGCAACCTTCGACAGAAGCCTCCTGCGGAACAGACCCCAGCTTTTCAGCGTCAAGGGCAGCGTGCGTTCGAAACGAGCCCGAACCCAATCCACGCCGCCGGCGCGTGCTCTCAAGGAGACGCGCGCCGCGACGCCGGCATCGGCACCAAATTACCGAAACCTCCCTCTCTCATTTGCCACTTCCAAGGCGGCTTTCATCCCCGAGAGCAGGAGCGCTCCCCAGCAGTCAAAACCCTGCTCGAGCAACGCTCGAACGAACCAGAACCGTTACCGAAATGGTCGTACGCTCGTTAAACGACAAATCTCCGAGAGGCTCGAGCGCAGGCAAGCGGCCAAGCGCCGGCGTTTGAAGGGTGGACGGAGCCGTGTTTGCCAGCCAAGGGTTCCAACCACCCTCTCCCTCTTCCGACGGGGGAGCTGGAGAGCTTCTGCCCAGACCCGCCAAACCGTACCTGTCTTGGAGAAGATGAGCTGCAGGATGAGAGGCCGCCGAGTGACAATTCCAGACCCTCGGGGAAGGAAGTCCCTGCAAGGAATTAAAAGACAGACGTTTACTGATGCGGTTAAATAAGCAAGTTAACGCCATAGTGAGTTATCACCCCGATATCTCAACAGCGGGCACGGGGGGATGGCGTGCCGCGGCTTGAAAACACCGGGATCCTACACAGAATTGGTTCCCGCTCCGCAGCGGGAGCCGCAAGAGGGTAAAAGACGCTCCCGGGAGCACGGACGCCTGTGGCAGGGCAGGAATGTGCTCTCCCGGCGCCGGTCCCGGCCTCGGGGCCGTCCTCCCACCCCCCCCACTACCTCTCCCTGCGGAAAAGGGGAGAGGTGGGAGCCCCAGCTGCCAGGACCCCCGCGGAGGGCAGAGCTCTCCGGGAGCGCGTCCCCGTCCCCGAAAGCAGGCGGGAGGAGAACGGGCACCCAGGGAGAGGAGAGCGGCTCCCACGCCCTTACAACTGCCTTCCTTCGCCGCGAATTGCTTCTGAGCGACTGCTGTGCGTGCAGGAATTCGGAAAGCAGTTTTCCCAGCTGCCAGCCATTCAGAAATTCAAGTGCCTATTGGATTTTAATACCCCGTTAATTCAGACAAAAAAAAAAAAAAAAAGACAGACACCTCAACAGAAGGGACAAACCCACCACCTTCTCTTTATTCTCTGAAACCACACAACCTTTACGGTTTCGCCCCGTTTCTCAGAAAGGGCCCTTGCGAAGAGTAAAACGAGGCGCAGAGCCCACGTTTGTCCTGCCCCCCGCTCGGAATCATAGAATCATAGCATCGTTGAGGTTGGAAAAGCCCTTTAAGATCATCCAGTCCAACCATTAACCTACACTGCCAAGTCTACTCTAAGCCAGTCAAGGTTAGACCAGACTAAACCATGTCCCAAAGTGCCACCTCTGCCCGTTTTTTGAACGCTCAGGGCGTCAGCCCAAGCACACCGAGGCCTTCGTGGGGATTTTCCTGCCTGGAAACGGCACTGCTCCGATGGGCAGCTTTGCTCGGGGCCGTCATCCCCCAGCGAATGCCTGCAGCTCCCTTCTCCCGGGCCGAAGGTGCCGGGAATGGGTCCGGGGAGCAGGTTTGCCGAGCAGCAACGGTGCCGGTGGTTTTGCTTGCTTGGAAACATGAGCGATTACGAGCTCCCTGGGAGAGGCCAGAGCAGCGCCGAGTGGATTTATTGCTTCCATTAACGAGAAAGCACGCACGGCTTATCAGCTGAGCAGAAGGAAGCGAGATGGGCGCGCTGGGCAGGTGGCGACCGTCGCTGTCACCCGCGCCCGAAGGCGTCCCGCTCAGAGGGAGCAGCTCCACCGGGAAGGCACCCCCGCCTCGGCCGTACCCAGCCCCGCACAGCAGCATCTCCAGCTGCCGCCGCTGGGAATTGCAGCTGCGATATCTGCGCCGGGAATTGCCCGGCGCCCTCCCGCCCCAACATCACGTAGGAGATTTCTGAGGAAAGCGCGATCCCCCAGCCCCGTTCAGAGCCCCAAGACCGAGGTTTCTCTAAATAGAAACGTGCTTTTATCACCCTTGAAAAGAGCTTCCTGCCCAACTGGGAGGGCAGGTCCTGCGGCGGCCG